TGGGGGGGGGACCGGCCCCCCCCCTGCGCCCCAGCCAAGCCAGGAGTGACGACCCCGTGGCCCCGCCGCTGGGGACCATCACCCCGAGGGCCCGGGGCACTGCGGCCACGGTGCTGAGCACAGAGCCTGACCCCGCGGTGGTGGCCGGCTGAAGTGTCGCTGCGGAGTGAGGCACCCCGTGCCCGTTGCACCCAGGCCCTGAACCCAGGAGCAGGCTGGCAGCAGGGGCACACCGCTGCCCACCCTCAGCATTTCGCTGCAGCACAGCAATCCCTCTCTGCAGGCCGAGAGCTAGGCACAGCCCCGTTACGCTTTCCCCAGGAGGATGTGTACAACCAGCAGCTGAGTGCAGACAGCAGCATCGGGAGCTGGGACAGAAGGAAGAGCAAAGGCGGGGTTACCTCAAAAGAGGCCATTTGAGGGGTCACTGCTTCCCCCTTTTCAGGCTGGCTCGTTTCACTATCTGAGCCCCCATTCTGCCCCCGGAGACCTCCGGTTTCGGGACACGCACTCGCACCTCCTCCTGAGCAAGCCGCAGCGGCAGGAAGCAGGACATCACCCAGGTGAACAGACAGACGGACATACAGAAGAGGACAGGAGAGGGAAAGGCAGAGTCAGTTGGCAGAAGACATTGAGCAAGACGACTGGTGCAGTGGGCAAAAGCTGCCCCTGGAAGCCTTAGAGGGGAAACAGGAGAGGAGAGCAGGGCAGAGGAAAGGATAGAGGGTGGCGGAGCCCCAGAGTCTGCGATTCCTGCAGAGGCAGTGCTGGCCCTGGGCAGGGTGCCTGCAAGGGCCGGCTGTAAGCCACACTGTACCTTGGTCCCCAGACCATCCCGGTGCAGGATGGAGTACTTCATGAAGTGATCGTCGTCAGCCTCCAGCTCTCGGGGCTCCTGCAGGGAGCCCTCCAGAATCAGCTCCTCCTGTTCCTGTCTATCACCCGTGTCACCAGGGCCCAGCTGACGCACCACCTTCCGGATGACCTGCGAAGACCCGCACAGCCGGGCATCATAGCTAGCCCCTGGGTACTGTGCCGCCCTCCACGCAGCGTGCAGCCTCTGCCCCAAGCACAGGGTCTGCCTGGGGAAGTGCCATGGCCGTAACCGCAGACAGTGGGCCGTAAGGGCCCTGCATGGGCCCCTGGGCTGCAAGGAGGAGCAGGGCAGCCAGGCAGAGAGGAGAGAAGAAAGACTGCGGCATGCCCTTGCCCACACCATGCCTCTGATCACTCACCTTCTTCGTGATGATATTGCCTTGATTGTCTGTGAACTGCTCCTCAGTCACTTGCTCTCCAGGAAGATGAAGGACTTCATTGCCCTGCAGTGACAGGAAAGACATCAGGGCATTTCAGGGGGGGAAGGTAAGGGGAGCCCCTTTGCATGCACAGCAGTACACCTGACACACACCCCCCCGTCTCTGTTCTCCTACCCCGCCCCGGCCTTTCGCTGCTCTCCTCTGCACCTGCCCTGAGGCTGGTCTCTCAGCTACCTGCTCATTACCTTCACAAGGACGCGCCGGCGGACAACCCTGGTGGAGAGAGCCTCCTCGTCATCCGCCAGCCCCTGGCTTTCCCCGAGCTCCTTGTCCAGCTCGCGGTGGGCGTGTTTGAGCAGGAAGCGGAGAGAGCCCCTGACGATGTGCGTGACGTTCTGGCAGCTGACCAGGAAGAAGGCCAGCAGCACCAGGGCAATCAGCAGCTGGGCCAGGAAAGCCCACATCGTGCCTCAGCGCGCGCAGCAGCACGCGTGCCCACCGCTCATGGTCCAGCCATGCTGTCCGGCTGGGACGGGCAAAGCCCCCGGGGCAGTGGCAGGAGCAGCACTGCAGGTCTGCAGCCCGCCCAGCACAGTGCCGTAACCCTAGCTGCCGCAGCTCCGCTGGTTGCAGGCAGCCAGCAGCGAGTGGGGAGGTGGGGCGTCCTTTGCCTCACAGCTTCTGTCAAAGTCACGGGGCCAGGACTGTGACAGCACCACCCGTCCCCAGCCAGCGGTGACTGGGACAGCCCTGTTCCCACTTCTTCGTCAGCTTGCC